CCGTGCCCAGCCCTGGGGCACCCCGGCTTCCCAAAGCAGGGGTGAGGTGGGCTGTGGCCCACAGAGAAGGACCTGGGCCACCAGCTGAAGTTACCTACAGCGCCGAGCGGCCTTTCTAAGGTCCATTGCTGCAAGTAAGGTGCTTCTTTGGCATTTAGGGAAAAACTTAGCCCTTAAATGCAGCGCTTTGACTGCAGAAATTCTGCTGGCAGCTTCCGATTAGCACGCGCTGTGAGGGTTTGGTGCCTTAAGGGACATGGATTTAGCTCTGGATGCTCATGCTTGAGAGTCTGGGTGATGGCACGTTGGGATGAATTCTCCTGCGCTGTTCCCAGAAGGGCGGCTTTGCTTTGTCATCGACGTGCGTGCGTGAGGAGGGAACGACGTCCGCGTCTCCTGGGCTGGCAGCGGGAGGCTGCGGAGCTGGGGAGACAAGCCGAGCTGTGGGAGGAGGATTGCCCACCTGTTCCCGTCGGTGCACTCTTCCATTTTTGGGCACATGCCCTTTCCAGCTCAGATACCCGCAAATGCCAAGCTCTCCCTCTTTTTATACGCGGTGGTGACCTCAGAGCGTGCGCAGCGGGTGACAGCGCGCTCCAAGCGAGCAGAAGGGTTCCCAGCCCTCCTTTGACGCGTGTTCAACACTTCCCTTCTGCTGAGTTGTACTGCAATGCCTGGGCCAGTTGGTGAAGTTTGAAAAGGTTTAAAAGTTTGCCGCAGGTTTACTGAAAAAAAAATAAAGTCTGCTCAAAAATCAGATGTGACCGCGGTTGTTTCCTGCGCTGCGGGCTCCCGTGGTGCCGGTCCCGGAGCGCTCCCCTGACGCTGTCGCTCTCCTCTCTTTGCAGTCTGCTGCTTCGTCGTGCACAAGCGGTGCCATGAGTTCGTCACCTTCTCCTGCCCCGGCGCTGACAAGGGCCCTGCCTCGGATGTAAGTACGGCTCCGGCGCCCGGAGGGAAGGCGCAGCGCGGCGCATGCCGCGTTGCCGTGTGGCATGGCGGGCGGGGGGCGCTGTGTCCCCCCCCTTTCGCAC